GTAGAGAATTTTACGGCACCTCTTTTAAGAAAACAACAAAGCTTAGGGGATAAAATCCAATTAAGATATGAGCAAAATACTAAGTGACCGATTTATTCTGGAACACCCGTTATAATCTACGTTAATTACGTCTGAAAGGTCGAGTCAAAGCCGAGATTCTTATTGGTATCGTGTGAATTTTCATCTCTGAAAAAATGATTTTAACTACAAAAATTTTGAAAGTGCTTATTTATGATCTATCATCATCATCATGATACAAGAAATTTAAAAAAATAAAAAATTTTGTTCCGTTGTCTAAATCTGATATGTTATAACTGCTCGCTACCATTGAAATACTACAAGGCTCTAATATTCATTAAAATTTGTTTTTAATTTCATTTCAGAAATTTCTTTTGAAACGATTTACAGTATTCTAGCGTAGTTCAACATAGTGAACACAATGCTTTTTTCTTGTGGTACCATTCTGTAATATTATGAAGAAATGGTTGATGTACAAAATCTATTTTCACGACAAGAAATAGTTGAAATCTCAATTCATAAAGAATTATATTTCATCGGTCAGTAATGTTCATCATGTCGAGAGAAATTAAGAGAAGATAGGAATTGTTGTTGTTATTATTTTGAAACTGATGTTATCTCTGTATGTGGTTGTCTGCATGTCTGATTAGTAAAGTGTTTTTTTAACGTTACGTCTTACTGATTGACTTGAAATATTCTCTATATATTGACTGTATTGATGGGCATCCATATATACACACACACAAGTAGAGTACAGTAGAGTACACGACGTTTGTATATCAATGGCGTAAATGATGTATGTGTCTGGTATTCTCTCTCTCGCTTTCTGTTTTTTCTACGACATTCGAAGCGTTAATGAATTATCTTTTGTTAGTATTGCACGATTATTCCCCTTTTAGTAAAGAAAACAATACTTTTACATATATGATCAGTGATATTGAACATGCTGAGTCTTCAACGTTTAGATATAGAAGAGAGAGAAAGAGAGAAAAGTTATTATGTTCATTCTAGTGAGATAAAAATTGATTTTCTAAGCCAGGATGTAATCATCTTTTTTGAATTTTATTCAAGTTATAACTGTTATTAAAATCGTTCTATAAATAATATAAATTGTTTTACATAAAATTGTACACCATGATTTATTAGAATGATAAGATGATTTTAAGCATTAAAACCCAACAATAATAAGCATTAATCGACTATATGTGTATATAGCACCAATTGACCGTAGCATAAGCAGTGTATTAATGTACAACAGAACTTCTATGACTTTAGGAATTCTATTCATTTGATATTAAGCTCTATTTAACATGTAGTTTTTGAGTAACTCAATAAATATGTTACCCTTTTGATTATTAACTGTTGCAGTAAAAACATTACGGGTTAAACAACATATACACTTCAGGCGACAAATCTACGATAAATAAAAAATAAAAAAACATGCATATAAACAGTGGCATAACAAATGGTATTCGATGATTCAATATCAGCTGAGTATTATTGGTTGCACAAAATACTTTACATATAAAAATTTCTAATAAAAAAAAATAAATATCGTCATCCATTTAACCCACTCTTTTCTATTATGTATAATCGCACCAAGCATTCAAAAAGAAAGACACATACACTCTCATCATATCAACGAATTAAAAAAGCTTATACTGATCTAGAAATAGAAGCAGTTAGAGGTCGGTGTATCTTTAAGAAAAAGTTGAATGAGTTGATTCACCATTTTTTAGTTACTCGAATAGCTTACACGCAAATGACGAATGCCATTCAATTCATGCAAGAAAACTTCCGATAATGTCTTTAGTAAATTTTCATAGAATTTTAATTTGTATTTTGAATTTCAACAAATCATTCGGCATTTACAGTAGAATTTTACTTCGATTGGCATATTTATAACGAATACTTTCTGAAATGAGTACGAAAAGAACATGAGAGTTGGAATAATATAAAAAGAAAAGATGATATTTATCTATTAGAGAAAGTAAACATGTTAATTTAACTGAAGACAGAACCCTGTCATTTGGGAAAATGATTTTATTTCTTCTAAAAAATAACAGCACATTTTAAAAAGATAAATCTCATATGATTAGATATATCTATATCCACTCTAAAAGTAGAGAAATAAGAGTTTTTGTTCTTTTTATTTTTTATTTTTCTACATAATTCAATATAAACTATGTTTGATACTAGCCGCCATGTAGAAAAAATGTGCGGATGTGCGGCATCACTTTTGAATTCGAAATGCTACACTTAATATTTTCTAAATCTGGAGAAAGAAAATGTGATAATTATTAAAATAAAAAAAAACACTTCATAGGATGAAATGAACATATGCAATTTATCATTGTTCATCGAAGAGGAACATGTTATACAAGACAGAATGCCCTCGAACAAAAAGCGGTTCTTCGTTTATAGTATCAAATAACTCCGTAAATATAGAAATAAACAGAAACCTTGCTGTAGAGTTAACAAATATGAACATATGTTTGCTTAATCGATGAGAAAGCGCATCTTTAGAATTTCTATTCTAATCATAAAGACAATTTAGGTTAAACTATTTATTATAGGAAATTTATTTGCAAAAAAAGACAATTTTTCGACTCACTTTATCCGCTCATTTAATCTTTTTATTTCTTTTTAGCAATATGCTGTAACATTTTATTCAAGAGTGATGACTATTTTTTTCTTCTTTCTATAGATGCATAAAACAACAAAATGTTTTTTATTCGTTAAAACTATGCTGTTCATTTCTCTACAAAACTTTTTTTGTAACATTATTTGAATACCATTTAAAAATTCGTCGTCTCAATTGGATCTATGCATTGAAATAAAATGTATTTCAAGAAAGAAAATAAGTAACATAGTAGAGAAGAGATATTTTACATCATAATAAATAGTGACATAAATTACATACATAAAAGAATTAAAGAAAAACTATAATCCTTATACAATAGTATTCAATATTTAACACACTATATCTATCAACTACCTTTAGATAAAAAATAACTTGAAGTAAAATCAAAACTAGTTGATATTTACTTCATTTAGCTAACATACTATTTCTGATGTCGAATATTTGAGAAAATTTTCAGATGATCTTTACTATTCAAAAATAATTTTTTATTATATTTCGAATAAAAATGACTGAAAAGTAGAAAATGTTACCACATAGTTATACATATTAATTAATAAGAGAGAATTTTTTCGTTGTTATTTTTTTCAGAAATCTGACAAATTACATATGAGTCATTTTGTAAGCAAACCAAATTGTAGACAATCAATCAACAATTTACTTCATACATCAGTATCATAAAATTCAATAAAATCTACTATCTATAAATACGTTTTGTTTTATTCACATTTAAATTTATGAACTATAAGATCCAAAACCTTTCTCTCTCTCTCCCTCTCTCTTGCTCTCTATTTATGCTGTGAAGTGGTTTTCCCTGAGTGTAAGTGAAAGCGAACATGACAAAGTAATGATCAATCTCGTTTTTCTTTCCTAATTGTTTTTTAAATGTCTGTCTGTTGTGTATCTAACTGATACTATATACAACGTGAATAAGTCAAACTGTACATCTGTCAAATATAAGACGAAGAGAGAAAAAAAAAAAATATATATATATTATCCGTTATATATTCGTTCTTTTTTTCATCATCCAATCGTATCCCTATATATAAATGTTTTGCGTTAATATAAACAAAATGCCAATCGTCATCATCATATTCTTCTGCATCCGTTCTCATACTTGTCATATTACTCTCTCATTCCGTTATCTATTTTTCTTTTTCTTTTTTTCTTATCTTTTCTATAAATATCGATGGCAACAACTCTTCTTCCTTCTTTGATGATGAAAAAACGGATCATTGAATCTATTTTCTGCTCTCATCTTTTTTCTTTTTCGTCAATTGTAATTGGTATTCGATGAGAATAATGTCCAATCATGTTTTAGAATATAAGAAACGATAGCGATGGCAAACAAATAAATAAATAAATTCAAAATCTTTCATCCTTCAATTTCGATAATAACCCTAGCATAAACACAGTTAGTCGCATTTTTTTTTTCTTCTTCTTCTTCTTCTTCTTGTATAACGTAAATCATTTGTGTCTTCGTAAAATCTGTCAAATAATAATATTCTCAACAACAACAAAAAAAAAAAAAAGAGAAAATGATAAATAGGATAAACAATTTATTTAAATAATGAAAGGAAACAGAAAAAATTGTTTTGTTACAAATAAACAAATATAACAACGACGAATTTCTTTTATTTTTATGACGACGACATCTATACAAAATGTATACAAATTTTTATTGATTATTCCTTAAAAACATTTCTTCATATTATAAACAAAAAGTCGATATAGAGAGAGAGGTACGTGCAAGTGATTTGTTTTGTTGTTTAGTAGAGTCGTCTATGTGTATATTCATCCCGATTAATAAAAAATTGTGTATACATGTAATAATAATAGGCTACGAGGGGGATCTTATCAACAATTTATTGTAAATAATAAATGATTATTATAGAAGATCTCAAAAGTATATTATTAACTATTACAAATCGTTTATTATCAAATAATAATACAAAAAATTGATTTATAGACCTCATAAATTTATGTTAAGGATAGGGTGAATGAAAACATACTAAAACACATATATTAGAACAATATTTTATATTCTAAATATGATGTTCTTGAATGGAAATTCTATTGACTAGTTATCATTAAAATTATTTTAAGCTTGATTTAATATTAATCTGATTGTCTTCTAGTTCTGTGGAAATTGCTGATCAGTTCAATATATGGATAGATTTTGTTTAGAACTGAACGTAATGCAGGCATGAAATCAAATAATAAGAAATAGATTTTACTCTGATCTTGGCAGATGATAACCATATAGGATGGAAAAGAGAATATATAGTCTGATTTTGTTTCTTGACTTTTCTGTTTTAAGTTCTCTTATAATATAGATCACACTTAAAAGTAATAATTCCTTGGCTGTACTCATCTGTATTTTACTATATTCTTACTACTCCGATATCGCTATTTTTTACTATATATGTTTAAGGTAACTTTTTGGAGGATGCGCTGAAACATTTCAAATAGTTTTATTTCAAAATTTACTGTGAATATGAACTTTATAATAGTTTGGCATATTGACTTGAGTTTTAATCATTTATTTCATAGATCTTCTTTGTACACGTTATTTTTCAAATTTTCGATATTAGTGAAATGAACATTAAAATTGAAACAAATAAACCAGTTACATTTTCAATTAAAACCAATGATGATCTATCAAAAACGAGTGATATTTCAAATCCGTTTTCTCATGTTCATGTCCATAATTCTTACCAACAACAATTGAATAATTCAACAGATCTTTTAATGTCTCGCAACATTCCATTACATAGTACTTCTCAAAAAGATTATATTCATTCACCGTATTCCGATCATACTTCCTATTGGAAAACATGTTCATCAATGAATGATATGACGTTGAGACCACATACATATTGTAGTAATCCTAATTATTTATCGCCGATGAATCCTACTGATACGTTATTACCACCACTACCACTACCGTCAAAACATTACAATACGTCAACATCATCTTCAAAAACTTCTTCACGTTTGTCAAAAATTCAGGGAGTTCCATCAGTTGAACGAGAGTGTTGTAATGATTCGAGAATATCACAAGCATCGAATGAATTGAACACTGTTGATGATCAAGAAGAGGAAGGAGACGACGATGAGAGTGAATTGGATGACAAACAATCAGATATACAAAAAACCAATAAAAACACAAGTTTAACGAATACAATAACGAATAGCAATCGTAAATCAAACCGCCGTGCTGAAAAACCACCATTTTCTTATATTGCCTTAATTGTAATGGCTATACAAAGTTCACAAACAAAAAAAATGACATTATCAGAAATATATCAATTTTTACAACAACGTTTTCCATTTTTTCGTTCATCCTATCAAGGATGGAAAAATTCTGTCCGTCATAATTTGAGTTTAAACGAATGTTTTATTAAATTACCAAAAGCAATGGGACGAGCAGGAAAAGGTCACTATTGGACAATTGCACCCGAATGTGATTATATGTTTGATGACAATTGTTTAAGACGAAGACCACGTGGTAAGTCCTAATATTAATATGTAAATATAAATTTATAACGAAATAGAAATATTTTTGCTAGGCTTTCGGCGAAAATTAGCGCCAACACAAAAACCCTATCCCGGCTTATTAACACAAGCAAATCCAGCATCTTCTTCTTCACCAAATCAAGAATACAATTCGTCAGATATAGCAGCTGGCTATTTTGGAATCGATTCGGGTTATCCTACACCGTCATCATCCACTTTACCACCACCTCCAACATCAAACGGTCATCGAACATCCCACTGTCATACAAATAATACAAATGATACCTATGCAGCTGCAGCAGCAGCAGCCATGGCAATGGCCTATTCTTCCTATCCAAGAATGACAAATCATTCTTCACCACACTATAATCAAAGTTCATCCGTGAATAGCAATAAACACTCTACAATGGCAAACGGTGCACAATCGACAGAAAATGAAAACGGCAGTCGATCATTGTCGTATGATTTAAATTTAATTTACAATCATCAACCACCATCGACAACAGTAACATCTACAGATGGAAAACATCCATCTTTAACATCATCTCAACAACATCACGAATTATTAAATATGACATGTCATGGTTCTTTGAATTATCCGACACAATCAAATTTTACATCATATCCTAGGACACCATTTCGTTTTGATTCAAATGATTCATACTCTTTAACATCATCAAATTTAACAGGTAAAATTTGAAAAACTTTTTGTTCACAATATACGTATTTTATCTATTTTATTTAGATTTGAAAAATCTCAATCAAAATCATTTTTATCCACCTAGTATTTGGCATCTCGAATAAAAACCACTTTTACAAAGTTTATATTATGACATCAACACTCACAATGCTTCATCGACGACAACAAATATGCCTGATTTACCCTCACTTCCTCCTTCTTCTCAGTCAAGTTACTAATAGAATTTTAATTTTGTTGTTGTTTTACTTTTTTACGTGTAGAACGATTTGTTTTTAAACTAATTTGTTTGCTATTGGTTTTATCATACATTTGTATAGAAAAAAAACAAGCTTCAACATTTATTTTAACGTCTAGCAGTTTCGTGAAATGAACTAAATAGTAATACCTCCTAATTTTGCTCATAAACCTAGGAATTCCTTCTATCAAAACTAATAACCTTGCTCTTTCGTTTATTCAACAAGAGTAAAAACCATCCTATGAAATTAGACATCAAATTACAATTAAGATATAATCTACATATGACTATCAGTGCCCGTTTTGCAGATGCACTCAGTAAATATGATGTAATAAAAAAAGAGCAGAACACCACACGATTAGAAAATGAACTTATTCGACAAACAATCGTTTGTTCTTTTTAAAGCGACACCACCTGTCAGAAGTGTAAGATGTTGATTAATGGTTAAATATACTTCCTTTTCCGCACAACGGGTGGTACATACATATCAGTAAGATTTATATAATAAATGATCGATATCAAAATTAATAATAATACAATTGCATTTTTCATACGTCAGTTTGATTCAGTCGACTAATTAAGCTAAAATAATTAAAATTTTCATTGATATTACATTCAAATATTTTTTTCATTTTACACTTCATGTTAAATTACGTAATTTAGAAGTTAATGATAAAATTAATTGACGATGAAGATATTCAAAATCTTTATGTTGAACAATTCCAAGCAACATGCACCAAAGTTGTGGTGAATACAAGTGAATAACTTCCAACGGCGTGAAAAACCTTTGGAAAAAAGCAAACGTAGAGTAACAGCCGGAAAAATTCTATTTTGCTCGCAGAAACTGTTTTAAAACTAGTGCTTTTAATAGTATTAGGTTACAGTTAATTTTCTCAAAGATAGGCAAACTCTAACTGCGACTAGGCATTGGCACATTTTAAAACAGCTATCAAGTTACTTGAACAAATAAAAAAGAACTTCGATAATCAAACCAAATAACCAAGCAACTAACCATAACCTAATATCGCGTAGCGCTATGAGCTTTAGCAATCAAATTTTTTCGGATATTTTGACGAATGCTCTCTCTCTAAATTAAATGCAATTATAGACAGAAACAAACATTGCACATAAACAAATAATTTTTAAGAGTATTGTGATATCTATTGGAATTCAATTTTTCAAACATTTTTCAGTGCATTTGGACGCGTCTGACAAATTTTTTCTGCAAAAACGCGTGCAGACGCGTCCTTTTTAATAAAAATTCCAGACGCATTCAGACGAGCCTTTAAGATTTCTTTTGGCAAAACGCGTTAAGACGCGCTTTTTTTATGCAAGTGTCAGACGCGTCTAAACGCATCGTACCATAACGCGGTCAGACGTGTCTGAGAATTTTTTTCTAAAAAAACGCGTTAAGATGCGTCTTTTCAGACGCAATGAATTACATGGGTCGTATTGAGATACTTGGATTTTCATTTTATTATCGCATGCGGTTCGACACTTATTACTGCATTTATTTTCTATCAAGTACTTTTCTCAACGGTAGTTAGATACGGCTCGGTATAGACACATGCCACCAAGAAAAGAAGGAGAAAAGATTCCCAAAACAAAGTGTTCTGCTTATTGTACAAGGAAATAAGTCAGAAAAGAGATCAAGCAGTATATATAGAGTAAAGTGTACGGTATAAAATGGCATAAGTTTCGAAACGTTGGATTTAGTCAGATAATTTTTGTACCGTTCGACCTAAGCAAGTCCATTAGCTTAGGTCGAACGGTACAAAATTACCAGAATCACTAATGCATATCATAGAAATGTTTGACTGTTCACGTCAACGCCATTCTTGTGCATACGAGAGACATTGTCGTCGTCTGTTTGCATATATAGTCAAGAGAGATGATCAACTAAGAATGAAAACATTGAATTTCTCTTTAGAAAAAGTAATTTTTATCTCTCTTTTAGGTGCCGGTAATTCAGAAAGATAGCATGATCTTTTCCGCATGGTTGGATAGAGCTCATCGAGTTTCCTAGGAAAAGTCAATTTCAGATTTTTCAATGTCATTTTTGGATGAAAAATTCAAAAATACAGAACTTCTTTCTTTTGAACTTCGACAAAAAGCTGAAATTTCAGATTTACTGTTATTTCTAAATCTCAGAAATATTATTTTTTAATTGTTCATGCAAACTGCATCTAGAACAGTACATTTTATTGAAATCAAATTTAAAATAAAAATATCGTAGGCTTTCTGGTGAGGCTAGTGAGATCGCACTGTACATCTTGCAAAGCTATCTAGTTTTCTTGATTAAGGGATATAATAATTTTTATTGACTTCATAGCTGTGGGGAAAAAGTTAAGTATCGGTTTTAGAAAATGTTTTTTCGGGTTCTTAGACCAAAATTCTTGCTGAAAAGTCACAGATATCCAAGAATTCCGGAACACTTTCAAGTCAGGTTTTATTTTTTAACATTAATTTTACACATGACATAGATTTCGCCAAAAGACTGATATTTGATGATAAAATGTGCAAAATACGAATGCATATCCTTGTTTTTTGCGACCGATTTCAAAAAAATTGTTTTTCTCAATAGCGAAACAACTTTCAAAATCGATGATTAACTTTTTGGACAATGTTTATTTTTTTCCTCAGATCACAGAAAGTTCAGCTAGCAAGAGAAGCTCGCGAGATGTCACCGTCTGATCCTAATGTTTTATACATGGATCAATATACCATAGTAAGGTAGTAAAAAGTCTAGAAGAGTCCGTCCCCATGGTCTTTCCTTCAAAAGTTATGATCACTTTACTGAAGTTTCCAAAGGAAACAAGCCAAAATTAAAAATTTTCTAACTCTTCAAAGAAAAGGAGTTATAGGCTGAATTTTTTTCTATGGCTCTCCTGTATGCCATCTTGTTCTCTACCGGAGTTACTGGTTTTTCAAGTTTCTCATAGTTTCGCCTTTTGATAAGTCGAGAACGAAATTCGTATTAAACTGTCAGTTTTCGATCAAAACCGATACAATTATCAAAAAAGAGTGGATTTAGAGTAGTTCATACCCTGCAGCCGTTATTCAACTGATTCGACACCTACCCAGGACATTGAAAACTGCCAAGTTAACTGCCAGTTAACTCCCAGTTAATTGCCAGTTAACAGGCAGTTTACTGGCCGTTTTTAGACCGTTCAGACAGTTTTTAGGTGGTTTTTTGATGGTTCGGA